GGTGGTGCTTATTTTTGTTTTTTAAGATTTTTTTCCAAAAGTTTGGGTGGTGCTTAAAATCGGAAGAATACGGTAATTGTAAATGATATTCAATCCTTGGAATTAAGACCATGTTTAAGATATATTTCAATTGTTTATCCGTCAATGGCTTATATTTTAGTTTTAAAATAAACTTTGCAATTTCATTTTGAATTTGTTGTTTAATAAAAGTTTTATTGTATTTTGCAGAAATCTATACACCTAAATATCTAGTTAATTCTGATGGTTTTTTTGTTAGGAAGAAAATAGGTCAGTTTAAAAATTCACTATATATTGAAATATTTATATTAGTTGCTTCAGTCGTTAAGATAAAGGACTTATCATAATTAACTTTCATCAAGTTGAGGTCGAAAAATAATTAAGCAATATCAAAGATAGCAGTCAGATTAGATAAATTATCAGTAACCCAAATTGTGTCATTCATATATACTAAATTAGGAATATATGCAGAAATTTCTGAAGTCTTTGTTTTGGTAATGTCTGGTTTTCATGACATAGACATTTTATATCCTAAAGAAGATTTTTGAATTCATAACAGAAGAGGATTGTAATAAATTACCCAAAGCAAAGGAGAGATAACTTCTTTTTAATCAATTCTAACAATGATATTATAAGGATCAGTGTTGCTGTATGCTGTGAAAACAAAGTTTTTTTTATTTAAAAGAGATTAGTGATGACATTAGTAAATGGTAAGGGGATTTTTAATTTTTCTATTGTTTTTTTAATATGAAAATATTGACTTTATCGTAAGTTTTTGACATATCTTGAAAGAATATGTATAAATTAGAATGACTGGACTTGTTCATTTTATTATTTAGGTGATGAAATTCAAGAATGTTGTTAATAATGTATAATAGTTCTATCATTGATTGATATAGTAAACCAGCAAAATTAAGACCTTTGAGTATGTTTTGTTTAATGAATACGTCCTATAGTCTTTGATTTAGGATCTTAACAAATGCTTTTCTGACAGTATCGAGAAGCGTGATAGGACATGTATTATCTAAATTGCAATTCCAAGCTTTTGGTTTTGGAATTAGGTACACATATGCTAAATTCTATTGTGTAGGTATCTGCGAATTAACAAAACAGATACAGATAATAGTATATAAAAGTTTGTTCATTCTTAGGCCAAGTTTTTTTAACATTTCATTAGGTATTTGAGAAGAGCTGGAAGCTTTATAATAAGGTAAATGCTTTAAAATGGACAACCATTCGTCATATGAAGGGATGTCCATAATTTTCTGATAAAAATCATCATAAATAATATTAATACGTTCATAGTATTTCTATTTGTTAATCCAGCAATAGTTTGAAAATGAGTTGCGGTATAAGCTTTGATATCATCTGAAATAAGTACTAGATGTTGTGATAGAGTATCAGCATTGATCATAACTTTGTCAAAGATGATGGCTTTCCTATTTTTTTCAAGACATTAATCGATTATTTTAGCAGGAGAGTCTTTAAATTCTTGTTCCTTTGTTTTATAAACTCTAAAATTCTTTCATTGTTTTCAGTTCAGAAAACAATATGTTATTTAGCTTGCATAGGTTTAATGATATCTGTTTTTAGTTCGTTTAGATAATTCTTTAGGTGATAATTGTAGAAATAGTCATCAATCGAAGATGTTGAAATGAAATTTTGGGAAGCAATTGTTAGTAAAATTTTGTGTTTGTCGAGTGAAAGTGGAAAAGGTGAATTTGAAAAATATGGTTAGGGAAGAGCTTTTTTTAACTTGTAATAAAATTTGTATAATTTGTTGATTTGTTTATGAATAGAAGAGTTAGAGTACGTGAATAAAGAATTATGACAGGAAGTGATTGTTTGTTTGGGTAAGTGTTTTTTGGCAGATGTTAGGACAGTATTAGTAAAGAAATCCCAAGCAGCATTAAGTGCGTTCTGAGAAACACAAAGATCCTGTGTTGTGCAATTTTTAAAATTTGGATCAGTTTTAAGTATAAGGTCCATTTTATTGCAAAGAAGTCCCATTGAAGAAGAGTAGTCTTATTAAAAAGAAAAATTTTATTTGTGACTTTATGTTATTTATAGTAAGCATTTGATGACTGATTGAAAAAATTGTTTTTGTAAAGTGAGATTAGAAGAGGATAGTGATTAGTTGAGTATAAAAAGGAGGAATCATTAAGTATATTAAAAGAAATAAGATCATGTGTTAGGGAAGATAAGACAAAAATATAATCAATATGAGAGGAGTAAGAGGTAGAGGTTGATTTGAAAGTAAGAGAGAAAGAAGGATTGAAAGGAGAAATAGTATGAAGGAAGTCAAGATTGATGATATTATATAAGAAGCTTTGTAAAGATTGTTTGCATTTTGATTTATAAGTCCTTGAGATATCAATATTAAAATCACCCATGAGTAAGGTTGCTGGACGAAATCAAGAGTTTAGACAGACGTCTAAATGGTAAAAGTAAAACTTGGTTAAATTATATTAAAACCTTATTGAAAAATCTGCGAAATTTGAAAAAAGGTAAAACTATATCAAAGTTTATAAAAATGGCGAAACTATATCAAACACTTAGTAAAAATTTAGTAAAACTAAAGGTTTTACTATTTTGCCAAATCCAAAATGAGTTTAGACAAGCAACCTTACCCATGAGTATAATATGAAAGTTATTTCTTCGACTTTGGATTAAAAGATCCATTAATTTGATTTGAATTTGAATTCTATATTAGAAAGATTTTTTGTTGTGGTAACTAGCGGGAAGATAAATTTGAATAATACGTAGTTTAAATTTGTTTTTAAATTGAAAGTCTAAATATAGTATTCGATCAAAAAAGATCCTTAGTTAAACAGATGTGAATATAGATTATTTCTAATGATTAAACCTACTCCCTGACAATTTTAAAAATGATTAGAACACTGAAAAAAAAATTTATACAGCTTAGTATAAAAATTTTGGTTAAGATTTCTAGCTTGTAAATAAGTGAGGTGAGTTTCGTTTAACCAAGGTTATCTAAATTAAAATTGATAAAAAATTGTTCTATTTGTTGGAGACGAGTAGAAGATACACAGCTTCTAACATTATGAGTTGCAATTGAAAGTAAATTAGGATTGTTAATAAGATGATAATAAGTTTGCATTTGTAATATTATAATTATTGGTTGAAATCGTTAATCACGTTCTATTACTATTGGTGAGATGAGGGTGTATAATCATTTGGGAATTATAAACGATTGAATCATAGGGCCAATAGTGGTGATCAAATTTCTTATTTCTGTTTTAATATCATTGACTGAGGTTTCAACTAAGTTAATTCATTGGATATTTTCTTCGGTTGAAATTTTTGGGTTAGTTTGTTCGTAATCATTGATAATTATTTGAGTATTATCTACAGGTGGATTAATTAATGTCTTCAGACATTAAAAATTTATCATGTGATGGGAAAACGTATTTGGGATCAGTAGCGTGATTCACGTCATATTCAATATTATGCATTACTTCAAGACGATTTAGACGAAAACCAATGTCGTCCTCATTTTATTATATTTCAAGAAAATCATTTTTGATAGATACAATTTCATTGCTGATTATAAATAGTTTGTTGTCAATATTATCGGTCTTTCTTAGATTAATTTTAATATATCGACAAAATTTGAGTTAGCGAATGAGAATTATTTGTTATCTTGTTTGGAGTGATTATTTTGAGATTATCAACGTAAGAAGTATTATAATAGGATCTGTTAGAAGTGTTATTTTTTGGTGGACAGTATGGTTCAGGTTTAAAACAGTTATAGAGTAATCTGTATGGATTTGAGGATTTGTGATTGATAGATACATTCTTTAAATTCATGGTCAGGCGCATCACAGCTTTGACGTGTTTGGTTGCAGATTCCATCAAATAAAGGTCTTTTCTTTGAATTTTTGTGATTGCGTAGCCACAGTATCTAGGACTTTAAGGGTGGTAAAATTAATAAAGACATATGATCTTAATCGATATTGTTGATCCCGTGGGATGAAGCATAATTTGGTATTGATATGAGCTAGAAAATCGCTAAGTTGTTATTGGTCTGTGTTGAATGGGAGACCTGTGAGTTTTAGCTCAAATTGTTGACGTAAAGCCGTTTGTAAAGGGTTAAGATCAGTTGGTTCAACTCTGAAAGTAGTATCAAAAAACTGAATGGATCAGTGTTTATCATAAAATGGTTAGATGATGTCAGGATTTTCAAAGACAATGAAAGCGATCTGATATAGGCTCTGGACAATTATTGAAAACCTGGGTGATCAGTTCATATTTAAAGAAAAATTTCGTAGTACGTCAGATTTAACTAATAGGGAAATATCAGACACTTTAAAAGTTCTTCCTTTTTCAGCATTTTGTTTAATCTTTTTTCTGCAGAGTCAATAATTGTGAATATCAGATTATGTTGTGATTTCTGTACTTTTATGATAGTATGTGTTAATTTCTCTATTAAGTGTAAATAAACTGAGAATTTTCTGAATTTGGAAATGTAAGTAAAGCCTTGATAACTATTAAAGCGTACGAAAAGGGAATTAATGAATGTGCATTTTTCAGATATAATTTTTTCTTTTATTTGTCTGTCGTAAAAAAACGTGTGAGAGCAGTAATGATGTTAAAAGAAACTTCTTAGTTTTCTTGGTAACGTGTTTTTTCATTTTGTTCGATTTCTTCAGATTAAGTTAGTTTTAGTTTACCTTTGGTATTGGTGGAAAGGATATACTTAAAACTGGTATTGTCAAATATGTTATTTTTGTTGTTTTTAGCATGCATAGATTCATTTGTTGTTTGCATTAGGATATTTAATTGTAAAGGAGTAGCTTCAGAGATAGTGTCAACCTCTATTTCTAAAGCCCTATAAGAAATCAAAATAAGGAAATAATACGTTTTTTATAAGGTTTGTATACATAATTAATAATTCTATATCAAAATTCTGTATGTTTTATAATGATTTATTTTTTTATAATTTTTTAAAAAATTGATGTATACGGAATTATTAAGGAATTTGAAATAACATATAAATTTTATGTAAAATAAAAAAAATAAAAATAAAATATTATATATAGAAATAATATGCATTTTTAGTAATCTGTATTAAATTTTATATATTTGATAATCAACTTTTTAAAATGCAATTAGTATCACTGA